CATCCTTGTTCACATTTAACAAGGGACGCTCAAGGCATCAGAAGCTTCACTGGATGGAGACTTAAACAGTCTTGGCAGCCTGGGCTGACTTGAAAGTCTTGCTTATGTTAAGGAAGAAATCTTTAGAAAAAGTATTAAAGCAAAACAAGATATATTGGGGGGAAAATCCCAGGTTCATGTCTTTTTAAAGACAAATGCTTGAGTACTAGGATACTTTTTTTTAAGGACAAAGATTTGACTGTCTTCTGCATCTGATTTTCAAACTATTCTAAGAATAAAAGGGTCAAAGAAAAGGAGATCTGGAAATAAGAAATTAATTTAATGATAATTTGGGAAATTTTAATCTTATATTTTGAAAACAGGAGAAAACTCTATTTTTATTGTTTTACAATAACATTTTTTTATAACCCCATTTTAAATGTACTTATTTATTTAGGTATATTCTGTCAGTTGTGCGTTAACAGATTTCTGGGTTAACTATTTAAAACTTGCCTTAACAAATTATTTTTCTCTTGGTTGTCCAGAAACTACATTTTAAAGAAATGGTTGGAAAAGAAAACTTGGCAAATTTCTTTTTGAAAGTTCTTATTTTGGGATTTTCTTTAAAATCTAAAGGAATTATTTAGTGTTCTATAATAGAATTAATTGAAAGAGTTGCTGAGGCAGCAAGTCAGGCCCTATCCTTCCAAAAATTGATGATAATAGTACTTCGTTTTTAATGTCTTGTTTCACCACATTTTTTCTTTATGGATAAATATATAATATGATGTTAAGAAAACTACTAGGATCAAATAGTAGGCTACTGATGACCTTCTTTGAAAAAAGATGGGAAGTTTCTCCCACCTTTTCCAAAAAAATGTTTTGGAAAGTTTCAATAAGATTTTTTTTTTCTTCTTTGGAAGAAGCAAACTTGAAATCTTAGCTGACTTGGAGGACAAGAGGCCTTTAAACTAAAATTCATAAATAACCCAAATTAAAGCAGGTTTTTTTGTATTGTTTTAGTTCCAATGTTGTTAACAATCCAAATAGATTTGGTAGACTGAGTTTTTTCTTTCTTTATTGATTTTAGAGAGGGGGGGAAGGGAGAGGGAGAGATAGAAACATTGATGAGAGAGAGCATCGATTGGCCACTTCCTGCATGTCCCCCCACTAAGGATTTGGCCCCCAACCTGGGCATATGCCCTGACTGGAATAGAACCTGCGACTTCTTGGTGTGTGGGTAGACGCTCAACCACTGAGCTACACCAGTGGGGTGGTAGAATGAGTTTTTTATTTGGCTTACCCCAAATCATTATTCCCTTCTCATTTGTGGGGAGAGGGAGGTGGTTAATAAAAATGATTAGGATCTAATATAGTCTATCAGAAAAAAATTCTGCAAGTTTCTAAATGCTAAGCTAAACAATAGAGGGAAATGATAGTTTGAAAGTTACTGTAATTACAAAAGAAAATGGGAACAATAGTTTTATCAATTATATTTTATCTCCATCTTCCTTTAGATACTTGCCATCTTAATAGTTCCAAATCAACATTTTTGCTGAAAAATGAACAGCTTTCTTAGGTGGTATTTCTTACTCTGTTTTCACACTCACTTGTGTTGAAGGAAAAACATAAATATAACAACCTCATCCTCTTAATACTAGGAATTACATTATTCTGGAAACTGGGTTTCTTTCGGAAGTGCTTCATTTATCATTGATTCTAGCTTAAAAAAAAAAAATCCCTAGACTCATAAAACAATTGTTACCTGTTTTGCTAATATAGAATACTCTAGTCAAAATTCATCTTGGAAGGGAAGGATTATGATGGTTTTAGCATTCTCATTTTCCAGCTGGATCTGTCCCTTTCTTAGACCCGGTTTGTCATCTGAAGCAGAGCTCAAGACAGGAAACCAGACAGCAGGCTACCCGGATAGGGGATAGGGGAGAACATTGTCCAAAGGAGGTAGTTCTGCTTCCCTGCCACACCCCACCCTAGAAACCCCGCCTCCTTCCCTGAAATTTAACAATAATAAAAGAGACATAATGCTAGAGAGACAGTTTCTGAACCACAACTAGGACTGTTTTCTCCCAAATTAAAAAATACCCTCTTAACTGGCTCTATGCTTTTTCTAGAATGTCATTATAGTTCAATGGAACATTTAAAAAAATGTATCAGTATATTCTGTATCCCTTTGTCAGAATATTTAATAGTAAAGTTCTTTCTCCAGTAAAACAGGTTCCTGGAGCTTTTTGAAACTCACTCCATTGTGTTGGTAGGCCGAATACATTATCATTTCCTCTGTCTAATTATTAGGGGAACTGGAGACAGAATGTAGCAAGTCAAGTGGCCCTTCAGCCCATGCATTCCTTATAACCCTGGGTCTGGCCGTTCCCCTGATTTCCATGAAGGGGGTATTTCTTGAGGCTGCCCTCTTCCAGAAGGACCCTGACCAGCAGAGATTAGTTTGGGACATGCCCAAAATGGCTACCAATCTCTGGCAGCTTGAGGATCTCCAGGGATGGCCTGGAGCTAGTCTCAGCCCAGATCAGTGGAGTGTGGCCAAATCTAGACAAATGATATCAAGTGGACATGGAGGTCAATGTGTCTACCCTGGAGAGCGACCTGGGAATCAGGTGTGGGTTTTTTCTCCTTTGGCCTATATGTTCTACTTTCTACTAACTGCTGTTCTTTGAGTCTAATCACTGAAATCTACTCCTTTATCTGCTCCTGCACTTTACACCCTGGTACCTTCCAAAGTGTTGCACCCCAAAACTACTTTCATTAGTTCAAGTTCCTGTTCTGCTTAGTTCTCCAAACAAGGGAGTTTTTCTCTCCTGGGCCTCCAGAAGTTTTCACGTTTACTTTGTGTTTTAGGTTTTAAAACATAATTTTTCAGGCCAGTTTCACTGGCCCCCTGGGGCAAATTCTGTGTGTGCCGCACCTGGAAGAAGGTCATTCTGAGGCCTTTGGCCTTCATTTTTTCCTAGCATGTGAGAAGTATAGATTGACATCCATTCATTTATTCATCTCACAAGTATTCATTGGGCACTTACTCATTAGAGCTAATCTCAAATTATGTGCAGTTGTTCTTCTTAGTTGTGCCACAGGATGGAGTTGGTCCAGAGCCCTCCAACCCGAAAGGTGTTTTGAAATCTTAATTGCCCACTGGAACTTCCCCATGACCCTGCCTAGCCTGGGCCATTGTGGCACTGCACACATCCCACACCCTCCGTACCAGGGAGTGACCCTAGTGTGAGATGATTTTACTTAAAAGCTGGTCCCACAGCACAGACTGAAGCAGAACAGAAAGAGCCCTGATCTGCAGGCAGACACACTTTTGTTCTTGGCTGCAGCTCCAACCAGCTCTGCGAATTTGGGCGAGTCATTTCACCTCTGTTCCTCCATTTCCTCATTTCTAAAATGGGGATGAGGACCTGACCCTTCCACCTTTGTACAGTTATTATGAGGATTTCCGTATTTACTTGAGTAAAGCTGCCAATTTTTCTGAGCAGTTTTATGGACCAGTTGCAGGTGCATTGGCTAGGAAGAATAATAGCCTAATTTGGGGCCTTCAGAATGTGTCTTTTGATCTTGTGTCCAACCATGCACTCTACAAGAGAGGGCAGGCATCAGGGACCAGTTGGGAGGGGCTGAAATCGCAGCTACTGTAAATACACTCTCCCCGAATGCCGTATGTCCCATGGACAGATCTGTTCACAGAAATCACTATCCAGCTATTGCTGTTTGTCATGTGATGTTGTCCTGTGCCCTGGGGAGGTAGTAGAGTGGGGTGCCAAGCGCACCAGTCTTAAAGTCAGACTACTTTGGGTTCAAATCCAAGCTTTACAACTTAGCAGCTGTGTGATCTTGGACAGGTTACTTGGCCTCTCTGTTCTAGTGTTCTCATCAGTAAAATGGTAGTACTACCTTCATGGGCTTTAAAGGACACAGTCTATGTGAAGAGCAATACCTGGAGATTGGCAATCATAAAAGTGGTTAAGGATCAACAGGAAACCCCTGGCTTTCCTTGGTCAAGTAAAGTATCCTTTAAAAACAAAACCTAGTGTTTTTTTGTTACACACTCACCCTTCCTCCCTCCTTCCTCATGCAGTTGCCTCTTATTTTCTCTCTTTTTTCTATTTTAGGCTCTAAAACAGAGTAGAGACCTTGACACTAGACTTGTTTAGAAGCTCTCTCTGGGGGGTTGGGGGGGGGAGTAATAAAAAAATAATTTGAGGATAAAACCGATAAGGTTTCTGGAAGACCCCTAACAGGCAAGGTTAAGGTTAGGAGCAAAGTTATTTTTTAGAGTTTAGTTTGCTTTAGGGTAGGTACCTTCATCCCCATTAAGGGAGATTTCAAGTGCATTCAAAGGGAAGGAGAAGTGACTGTGGAACTCCTACCATGGACTATGTTCTCTTATATTGGCTCCTTATGCCTGACCAAAAAAATGTCATTTAGTAAGCAAGCCCTATCTCCTTTGGGGAGTAGGGAGAGAACCCTCTAAGGAAGTATAATGTGCTCCTGTCCTTTTGGTGGTGCTCAGATACTGGTCTGAGACATAACTTTGGCAAGTTAAAAGGCCCAGGCTATCTAGGTAAGAAGGCGGCCTCAGATCTACCGGGGTGCAATCAGCCGGCTGCACAGGGCCTTGAGCTGGTCTTTGAAGAATTAGGAGGATTTAGATAAGCCGGAAGGGGACGGGGCATTCCAGCCGGTTGCCCAGCATCAGGGCCAAAAATGAACAAAGGCATTAGGGGTGGGGGGCAGGGCATCCAGCATGAAGGGCGCTTGTTGGAGCAGGGGGCAGCTGGTTAGTAAAGGGGTGCTGTGCCTGGGTGCTTGAACCCACTCCCCAAGCCCTGGGGATCCTGTTTGAGGAAGAAGGGTTTGTGAGTTTAGGAAAGGTCAGATGAGAAGAGGGCTTTGAGAAATGTAGGTGAAATGGGGATTGGGGTGGATTGGAGGGGCCAAGGGAGAGTGGGGTGGTGGGGAGGCCAGTGGAAGAAAAACTCCAGTAACAGAGTCCTGAGGCACTGAGGGTCTGGCCTTCTATGGCAATAGCAGAAATGGAAAGAAAAGTTGAAGAAGGCTTAAAAGGTTTCTATGCTGAATGACCTGAAAATAAAGCAAATGGGAGGTGGGGGGCAGCCTGGCAGCCTTTTTGAGGCAGGAACGTGGAGGAGGATTTGGATTTGGGACTTGTTCAGTTAATTCTCTTACATAGCAGTGGTTCAGATGCGTTTCTGTTTCTTTTGTTTATTTTTGAAGGGAGAGAGCAGTACTAGCTCATGGTTCATATCCAAAGGTTCTGGGGTGCTATGAGATAAACTTTTAATGGAGAACACTCAGGAGCTCAGGGAATTACCACCATTCTGACGTTTCTTTCTGGTTATTTTTAAGGTTCTAGCCATCACTGCTAAGACCCAAGTTTCCAGGAACTAGCTGCTGGCTGGAGCCAATTGGTCCCTCCCAACCTCCCACTCCCTCCAGGGTGGGGCCCCATGGGTGGAGGCCCCTTGGGGTGGAGTGGGGTGGGTCTCCAGTGATAGGGCACCAGCAGAGAGAGGCAGCCTGGCCTCACACAGCCCTTCTGGATTTGATTATATAACACTCCACAGAAGAGAGCTGCAAGGGCTTGGGCAGGCCTTATAAGACATGTACACAGCAGGATTGTGCATCATGAGAATTTTTCTATTGATCTTGGGTTGCTTGCCCTTAAAGCTAAAATGCAAATTTGCCAGCCTAAAGAAGGAAAATAAGTGTGTAACCTTAGTAGGGAAAATGATTAGGGTTTGCTAAAATTTCTTTAAGAAAGGTGTGGAATGCTACTAACCAGGTGGCTGTGAACTTGAGAGTTTACCCACAGGGTATGGGTTGGGTTTCCCCACCCCCACCCCCACCCCTGCTTTACTGAGCCTCCTTCTGCCCAAGTGTAGGGATTTTGCTTGGTTGTTACCTTTGCACCTGTCCTTATTTACATGCAAAATCAATTGCTTCACTCTTGGTCTTTCCGAAGTACAGGGTGTGGGCAGAATCTTATCTGAAGCTGTGTCCTGTTTGGACAAGTTGGACTTGCCTTGGCAACTCTCCATAGGGTGGAGCAGATGGGTGGAGGCAGGAAAGTAAAATTGGGTGGCTTGTTAGCTGAGAGAGGAGAGAGGGCGGATTGTTTGCTCACTGGATCATTATATTTAATCTGAAACTAAATAATTAACTTCTTTCCCATTTACAAAACATTTTGATGCAAAATAACTAATTTATGAGGGGCAAGAATTCTGTGGGGGTTTTTTTTGTTTGTTTTTTGTTTGTTTGTTTTTTCTTTCTTTCTTTCCTTCAAACCAACTAGAGAAGACTGAGGTAGGTGAAAAACATCAAGTGATATGAAAACGGGACACGTTTCCAGGTAGGTGCCAGCATTTGGCTGTTCTGAAAAGAGCCTCCAACTTCAAAATGCCTACTTACATCTGTTCTTGGCCCCTTGTGTTTCTGGCCAGAGCAACTGCCATTAAATATTCAACTCCTTGGGAGCTTAAAGAGTTTGGGTACAGAAGTAAAGAAAAAAAGTTTCTTTGGAAAGGAAGTTTAGCTCCAGGGATGTTGCCTGCCTGCCCTGGTCCTCTTCCTGGCCAAGAATTACACACACACACACACACACACACACACACACAGATGGGTTTGTTGGGGTCCCCCCCAAGTTACTTTGAGTAAAGAGTGGGGGGTATAACATGCTTCCTCCTTTAACACCCAAACCTTTGGGAGAGCTAAAAGTTGGGGGGAAGGGTGAGGGAAATTACAGATGGTGTGTTGATTTGATCCTACTGTTTTTCTCCTTACACCTGGTTGAGGTCAGCTAGGAAACAGATTTGCTTTGAAGGAAGGCAGGTAATTTGGAGCCTTAGGGTCCAGTCAGGCTGGGTTAGGGAAGAATAATGCTGGGACCCTTTGGAGGATATAAGGAAAGGAAGAAAAATATGGAAGAAAAGGCATTAAAAAAGGAGATACGAAGGGAGAATGTCGGGGCAAATCCTGCTATGTCACCAAGAAACTTTGCTTCAGACACACATTCTGTTCACATTCATTTTTTTTTCTCTCTCTCTTTTTCTCTTCCTCCTTCCTCCCTGCCTCTCATGCTTCTAAGGAAGGGGCAATAATTTATGAAGTTTTTGCAATAAACATGCTCTAGCTTCAAAACAAGCAACTTTCTAAGGAGATTTGGTAAATCACAACCTCCTTACATTGAGGGCTGTGTGTTTCTAAGCTCTGGCACATTTGTATCCTCATAAAGCATAGAGGACTGAATAGGACAGTGAATGCAACTATATTACTTCTGAAACTTCATGTAAATGACTCACTGAAACTTTTTAATACACAATCATGCAGTTTTCTGTTTTGGCAAAAATCTGACCCTTATTTCAACATCTGAAAATCAGAAGTATAAGTGGAGAGAGTGTGAAAGGAAATGTGTTTCTTCCTTTTGGAGGAAAATTCAGCTGTCCTGGCCCTTTCCAGCAAAATAACATGGTTGGGAAAGCTGACATTTGCTCCAGTTATGGAAAATTATTTTGGCAATGGTGATGTTTCTGTATTTTTGCTTTCAAGCACCTTGATAACTTAGAAGTTTTTAAAACCAGTTTCTCCTCTCCCCACCTCCCCTTTTTTTCTTTTAAAGAAGCTTTGTTATTTTGGGATTGCTTAATTTAGAATATATTTCTGCTAGGCTACCCATAACTAAGATGTAAATGTGTTTATGGTTGTAAAATAGATGTTAAGAAAAAAACAGAACCACATTTGGGGCCTTCTCGTGTCTATGATACCCACATAAAATGGTTAACAGAATTCCTGAGCCTGCTTAAAACCCACTAGGTTTAAAGACCCTGACTTGGGCAAACTCAATTTCTTGCCAGTGTCCTAGTCTATAATACCTGTTTTAGTGCGCCACCTACTGGTTGTACTGAAGATTGCTATCAGCGTTGTGTAACAGATTTTCTAGTCATTTGTAGTTTTTAGCATTCTTTAAAAGTGATGGTAAATTCCCCAGAGCACTGAGTTGCTCCTGGGGAACTAAAGCTATTAAGAGACACTAATTCTTCCAGTGCTTCAGTTATTTCTCAGTTATATGGCAGGCATTTTGGAAATATTGCAGTCACTCTTTTGTGACCCAAAGACATCCAATACATGACAAAGCAGTCCATTCAGAGATAAGCACGGTAGGTACAGAGTAGACAAGCTTTTTGCAAATAAATAAAATCCTGATTTGTGTTTAAAGTTTGATACTCTTCCTAAATTTGGTTCCTTTCTAGCTTAGCTTCCCTGTCATGTGTTTATTGAACATTTGAATTGTACAGTTCATTTAAAAATTGGCACATGGGTCCAGCTGGTGTGGCTCAGTGGTTGAGCATCAACCCATGAATCAAGAGGTCGCCAGTTCAATTCCCAGTCAGGACACATGCCGGGTCATGAGCCTCATCCCCAGTGGGGAGCATGCAGGAGGGGGCCAATCGATGTTCTCATCAATGTTTCTATCTCTCTCTCTCTCATTTTCCGTCTCTCCAAAATCAATAAAGAAAAATTTTTTTTTAATCGGCACATGGATGTGTATAAAGCCGTCCCATTCCCAACCCCACTCCCAAGAAGCCCTTGTTAACAGATTAGGGTACATCATTTTCTTTGCATGTCCTTTATATTGTTCTATATCCAGTGACTCACTAAAAGTATAACCAGTCATTTAGAAGCTACTGAGTTGGGAACAAGGTGATGTTAGACATGTGAATTTTGTTCTGTCCACAGTGACATTTGAATTTTGCACAGACTTTTATTGTCCAGTGATGCACTATTTAGTTAGGAGTTTAAAAGTAAGGTATTCTAATTCTATCATTCCTTCTTCATTTATTACCTGAAATACTTCTATAACAAGAAATATTCCTTCATCACTACTGACTTGTTCTAAGGTGCATTTACAGTTCTTTTTTAATAAAAATCAGGTTTATTTGAACAGATGGTTTATATTAGACTTTTTCTTTTATGACTGTAAGTCTTGCAGAGCACTAATTTCCTTAAATTTAGATAAAACAAAAATTAAAGAATGAAAGTAGCTTAAATAATGTCTTAAAATGATACAAGAAATAGCAGGTTAATGTGTAATTCATTTCTAAATGGATTCAGTGGTCATTAGGAAAATTGATTGAAGGCCTTATGAGCTAAATTGTGAAGTTAGCATTTGAACCAAAATGAACTCCAAAGCCCATCATCTTAATTCCACTGTGCTGCTCTTACTGGTAGTAAAGGGTGCAAGGTGAGGTGTGGAGATGCTAGGAAGCTCTTTAGGTGGAGTTGTAAAGTGACCAGGCCCTATATGAGATCTCATAGAGGACATAGCGGCTATTAACTTTTAAACCTACTTTAATTTGGTGTTGTTGTTTTTTTAAGGGTGGAAGGGTTGACCTTTAAGGCTAGGTAAGTTAGCAAAGAGGCAAATACCTGATATTGCCCCAGAAGTTGGAACCAACAAATTTAGTGCTGTGTATACAGGATGTATATTCAAACACTGAGTGCATATCTGTTAATAGAAACTATTTAGAGGGCAAAAGAGCTTTTTTTTTTTTTAATTCTGATTTTCTCTTCCTAAAACATTGTGGGTATAGATTTTAGGAAGTAGAAGAGATGTCATCTCATTTTGCATATGAAAGGAGTTGCCACATGGGAGGGCTAGGATTGCAATTCATGAGTCTTCAGATGTGGGCTCTTTCCTTATACACTTGAGAATATGAGGGCTTTTATTTAGAAGGATTTGCATCAAGATACTATCAGTGGAGTGGGTGGATCTATAAGAGTTAATTCAATTTAAAAAGCTTGGGGGTCCAGCTGGTGTGGCTCAGTGGTTGAGCATCGACCCATGCATCAAGAAGTCGCCAGTACGATTCCAGGCCAGGACACATGCCCAGACTGTGGGCCCGACCCCGAGTGCGGGGCATGCGGGAGGTGGCCAATCGATGTTCTCGCTCATTGATGTTTCTATCTCTCTCCCCCTTTCACTTCCTCGCTCTCTAAAATCAATAAAGAAAAAAAATTTTTTTTAAAGGCTTGGGGGAGGGGTGGCCAGTCGTGGGTCACTGCTGCTGAATTATCTGACCTCATTGATATGAACACATCTCACATCTTTAAGATCTGGTATGGGGCACTGGACAGCAATTTTTAGAACCATATCCATCTGCACAGCAGCTAGGCTGGGAACTGGTTAATAATAGATCTCAAGGCACAGAAAGGGTTTTCATCCTTCATTATGAAATCATCCATTTATCACTAGTTGGTTAGAGTTTGTTCTTGCTGGAAGACATAAGAGGGTGGTAGCAGCATTGATTTGAGCACCTGGTATCAGATTGTGTTCCCAGATTAGAATACATCCTATGATGTAGGAAAATAGAATTTTGAAGTGAGGGCCTTATGTTGAGTTAATGATATTCACATTGTCATGAGACCCAGAACAGGCTTTCTTCAACGAATCAATGAAACACAAGAATTACATAGTATTACTTTTATAATTGTATGTGAAGATATCTTAGTATAACCCATAGAGCATGGACACAACCAACTATAGGATTAATAGAATGGAGGTGGGGTGGGGATGGGAATTTTAATACTGAAATACAGGAAGTAATCTAGAATCAGGGACTAGTACAGCTGTTTCAGGTAGATCTCAATCTAGAACTTATTTACTTTTCCACCAAAACCAAAGTGATCTATAAAGACTTCACCTCTGCCCTGGCTAGTGTGGTTCAGTTGGTTGGGCGTCATCTCATGTACCAAAAGGGTGCCCATTCCATTCCCTAGTCAGGGCACTCCAGGTTGCAGGCTCAATCGTGTAGGTGGTGTGCAGAAGACAGCCGATCAGTGGTTCTCTCTCTTATCAATGTTTCTATCTCTTTCTCCCTCTCCTTCCCCCTCACTCTAAAAATCAATTAAAAAATATATTTTTTTATATTTTAAAAAATAAAAAGTGCTTAGAAAACAATAAGAGAGCTCAAAACCTGAATAGGCATTTTTTTTTTTTTTTATCCTCACCCGAGGACATTTTTCCATTTTTTGTTCAGGTAGAGTGGGAGGGAGAGAGAGGAACAGAGAGAGAGAGAGAGAAACATCGATGTGAAAGGAACACATCGAGTGGCTGCCACCCGAACAACCGACCAGGGCCGGGGACAAACTGCAACCGAGGTATGCGCCCTTAGCGGGAACCGAACCCGGGTCTCTCAGGACCACAGGCCGACGCTCTAACCGCTGAGCCAAACCGGCCAGGGCTGAATAGGCATTTCTTAAAAGAAGAAATGTAAATGATAGAGATGAGAATTTTAATTCAGTTAGAATAAAAATAATTTGCCATTTTGATACTAATAAATTGGCAGCGTTTTTTGTTGTTTTTTCATCCTCACCCAAGGACACTTTTCCACCCTTTTTTGTTCAGACAGAGTGGGAGGGAGAGAGAGGAAGAGAGAGAAACATCGACGTGAAAGGGACACATCGAGTGGCTGCCACCCGCACGACCAACCAGGGCCGGGGACAAACTGCAACCGAGGTATGCACCCTCAGCAGGTATCGAACCCAGATCTCCCTGGACCGCAGGCCGACGCTCCAGCTGCTGAGCAAGCCCGCCAGGGCTTTTGTTGTTTTTTAAGTGCTAATAAACGTTGCTGGTAGAAATGTTGGGAAAAGGGTTTTACTGATGGAAATAAAAGAACATCTTTGCTGGAGAATACATCAGATGCTTTGGAAAATGTACATGCTTGTCACCCAAGACTAAAGCTTATTTTAAAAATTAAGGATGTGCAAGAGGACGTAAGTATAAAGATGCTCATGCCTTTAATGGTGAAAATTTAGAAGCAACTTAAGTGCCCAATAAAAATGGATAATTATGTAAACTGGTGTGGCACATTGAATTTGAATGTACAGAACCATACTTACCAAAAATAAACATTTTCACAATAAATTGTCAAGTGAAATTATGGATACTAAATTTTAAAAGAGTTTGAAAGGATAAAAACAAAGATTAACAGTGGTTGGGTTCTAGGTTTTCATTTTGCTTGTCGTCTTTTTTTTTCCTGAATTTTCTGTAGGGAAAAGGAAAAGTGTTTAACATTCATATATAATATGAACTTCTGTTGAGTTGCACTACAGTCTTAGGAAACCTTTGCTGCTCGGAAGGGGCTGTCCATATTGTTCCAGAAATGTCCAGGTTTATGTATTTGAGTTAGGAATGCCAGTTGGCTTTCATCTGGTTATGACCATGGAGTCTGGTTTTAATTATACAAAGTGGCATCTTTCTTAGGTAAGGGAAATAAATTCCAGCCATTCCAGGGGTGTGGGAGAGGAAGGAGCAGCAAAGGGGGGGTAAAGAATATTATATTTTCTTTTTACTAGTTTATATTTAAAGTAACTTTGGGATTTAATGGACGCCTTGTTTTGTTTTCTAGGCCAAACACCAGAACACCCTAGAAAGCTTAACTAAAAGAATGCTCATGTTTGACCCAGTTCCTGTCAAGCAGGAGGCCATGGACCCTGTCTCAGTGGTAAGTTTTCCAAAATCGAACATTTTTTTTATTTATTCCAAGTGGTAATACCATTATCATATGTTGTGTTATTCCTTTAAGTTACTCATGACTAAACAGGCATTTGACAGGTAAATTTTTTTTTTTTTTTTTTTTTTTAATCCTCACCCGAGGACATTTTTCCATTTTTTGTACAGATAGAGTGGGAGGGAGAGAGAGGAAGAGAGAGAGAGAGAAACATCGATGTGAAAGGGACACATCGAGTGGCTGCCACCCGCACGACCAACCAGGGCCAGGGACAAACTGCAACCGAGGTACATGCCCTTAGCGGGAACCGAACCCAGGTCTCTCCGGACCACAGGCCAACGCTCTAACCGCTGAGCCAAACTGGCCAGGGCGACAGGTAAATTTTTCAAGGGCTCCAGTAGTCGGTGAGGTTAATACCCTACTAGCAACTGCGCATCCTTTAATAAACGGGATCCATGTTTCTTTCAGGCCTGTGTCCCACACTCCTCAAGATATGATCGGCACAGAACTTGGGCCACAGACAAATCTTGTCACCACATAAGCAGATTAAAAAACAACTCAGTTTCTAGTTTTTTAGTTGGAGTTCTCAGGATTATTGGTCTTGGCAAAAAGACATTTGGCTAGACTAATTTTTTAAACATTGATGTTCATCCAGGGACATTTTTAAATTAATTAATTAAAAAATTTTTGAATGTGTGACTTTTTGTTTTTAATAGAGAAAAATGGACAGAATCACAATGATGAAGCCCAGAGGGATGGGGCCCGGGCCTCACAGGGCATCCTACCACTTAGGCTCCTCTGCTGGCCTGGAGCTGTGCTCCCTGGCTGTTGCAGCCAGGGTTTGCTAGGCCCCCACTGACAGCAAGGCCATGGCTCTCACAGTCTCAGCCTCTTCCTGCTCACCTGCCTGGGCTTCCCGCAGGGAATAACCTAGACCAGATGCAAACCTCTGCACACAACTCCAGTGTTTGCTGTGAATCTCAGTGACTTTCTGTAGTGTGGCCACTGTGTCAGTGTTGGGCTTTTGTTGTATTGTCCAAGGGCTGTAGCTCCACACTGAGCAGAGCTGAGGTGTAGCCTAAGAGGCATCACAGATGGTGGTCAAGTCATGGCCTCCCTCCAGGGCCAGCATCAACCTGTCCCCTGCTCACAGACATTATTTTTTAAAACTTGTGCACAGTATTTATCACAGTTAGGAAGCGATTTCCAAATGTACTTACAAGAAATCTGTATCAAGAACATGATGACTTAGATGTATTTTTTTTACTCAAGATCACCACCCTGATTATATATAGAAGAGTTTCTCAAAGATGTTTGCAGTTGTCTTTTTCAATACTGGAAGAAAAAAATATTCCATTGGGTCTCCGAGTTCTCATAGTATATATATAATAAGTACATGTGTACACACACACACCCCCAACTCCTCGGTCCTTTACATGTAAAAATAAATATATTAAGAATAAAATGATTTGCTTAAAAAAACAATGACAAGAGCTGTATGGAGCTATGACTGTATGAGAGATAACGGAGGAGAAGCTAGTGAAAGAAAGAACTTGGCGGAGAGGAGGAATTTCATTTCACTTGGAAGAGGCTGGGTGGGTGTGAATTCAACACCCAGTGCTAAGCTGGCCCCTCTAGATGCTTTTCAGCCACCATGAGACTATAACTAGTCCAGGTGTTTATATTGGTACAAAGCAAGTGCTGTGGAGATGGGACATGAGTGACAACAGAAAGGTGTGTCCCACTGCAAAGCAGGGAGTGGTTTAGACTTGAGGGGATCTGGTTTAGTGGATATGAAATAACAAGGCAACACTCTCACTCTGTCTTGCTCTTTTCTTCCACGGGCTTGGAAAATCTTCACAAGGGGAAAAACTTGGCCTGAGTTGTATGTGAGAAGGTTGGTAATGACACGCTTGCAAAGTTAGATCATCCTTATGCATTGGCTGTGGAGGTTCCTGCCAAAAATGTTTATATAAGACATGGGGGTCACGCGAAGGCCCTTGGAACTGAGTTTCCATGGATATGACTAAGCCAGTGAAGTGTTTATCACTGTGTGCAACAAAAAGCTAAGTCAGAGTGGCTTTAATGAAGTTACATTTACATTCCAGCATAATAACTGGATAACTGAGTGTCTGAATATGATAACTGAGCAATAAGAATTGTATTAATCAAAACAGTGAATTGACTTCTGATGTTATTCAGTGCTGTCATCAAATTAATCAACCCTTCCCCCTCCTATTGCATGATCACATTGGAGGAAAATTAAGGTATAAAATTTCTCCATTAATTATATCCTTGAAATATGAATACGTTTTTAGTACTGGAGAGTATGATTAGTTTTATAAGTGATGTAGAACCATCAGTGATGCATTTTACTATTCAGTAGACTTCCAGTGCTTTTAATCAAGCATGGATACGGGAGTGCTTAAGAGCCTAATTTAAAGCTAAAAATGAAGATGCACGTTGCTAAGTTAGTTATGATATAATTAAATGCAAGAAAATACACTTAACTGAGAACAGGGAAATAAAATGCATTTGAAATAACAGTTATGCTTGTAATGCTGTAACTTATAAGTATTTTTGCAATGAATGGTCTTTTTCTCCTTCATGCTCAAGTTTGCAATTTCATCTAACATTTAGAGAAATTAGATTGTTTCACTAAAAGTTAGTGTCAGTCCTTACAATGAAGTCTCTTTTTAATTCAGTGAAATCTCAGTTAACTGAAACATTTGGAGAGTAGGGTCTTGTGAGGTATTTTAAACATTAAGGCAGCATAGAATATTTGTAAGAGGATTTTGTTTTAATTCCACATATGAATAAAAATATACAGTGACTGCCCTGCCAGTGTGGCTCAGTTGATTGAGCATCGTCCCATGGACTGAGAGGTCCTGGTTCAAGTCCCAGACAGGGCACATGCCCAGGTTTTTGGCTTGATCCCCAGTGGGCGATGTGCAGGGGGCAGCCGATGGATGTCTCTCTCTCACATCGATGTTTCTGTCTCTCCCTCCCTTCCTCTCTCTAAAAAATCAATAAAATATATATTTTTAAAAATACATACAGTGACTTATCTTCCCTCCCCACTCCCTTTTTCTTAAAATGAGAGCACAGCAGAAGCAATCTGCCTATTTGGTATTTTTGCTATAATTTAGAGAAAGTGAGGAAATGGCATTTCCCACTTATCCAAATGGAAGGCTTTATATTGTTAAGATTTGCAAGAATAAGGAGCAGAGCAGATCCTGCCTGCTCAGGTCTGTGCCTGGATCTCTGCTACTTATTCTCAGTGCAGTGTTGGCAAAACCACCAGCAGCTCCCTGAGCCTTCCTTTTTTTAATTTGTAAAATTGGAGATTATAATTTGTAAACCATAGACATCATGTGAATATAAATGTACATGTAAAGGAATTATTTTTACCCATACATGTCCAAAGGCTATTGAAAATTAAAGAATTTAACTCAGGAAGTAAGGCAGAAAAGTTTTTAGTAAGTATTCTTTCTTATTCTATTCCTATATGCAGATTACTTTTGAGGATAGTGCATTCCTTTTCTTCTTTTTTTAAATGAAAATGTTGTCTAACAGACTCCTGACAGATTGAGAAGCACTTAACAGTTCCTCTGCCCTGTTCTAGCAGAAACTTTTCATGACTCCTCTGAGCCTGGTAGAAAGAGAGCCTTCTACTTTTGTTTGCACAGAGAGACATGACATTTGCTGTTTCCAGAGTGTTTGTTTATAAATGCACCACGCCTTCCTGCACTGGGAACCCCACCCTTGGTATGAAGATTCCTTTGACTTGCCATCTCCCTGTCACGGATGTTCACTTTTTTTTCATATTAATGAATAGTGAAATAGAGACTTTATCCACTTAAACTGTCTTGTAATGGAAAACGCACCAAAAGTTTTCCCAGTAAAATAAGAAACTATTGAAATTCTCACTTGAGTATAAAGTGATAGCTTTGGAAAATTATCCAAACCAAATCTTTTTGACAAGAAAACCAGTACCACCCCAATTGGGGGGGGGGGGGGGGCTTGCACGAGCCTTTTCTTCAGGCTGCTCTGCTCCAGCACACAGCCTCCTCAGGTAAGCACTATGGAAGGGGGGGGGGGGGAGCACTGAATGTCCATCAGTGGCCAGGGGCGCTTTTTTGGCTTCATCAATACTTGCCTCTGATTTGGAGAATTGGATTGGGGGCAAATGTGCCCTCGCTTATTTGCATTGCTTAGTTAGAAGATAGGAATGGTCTGGAACAGAAAGGAAGCAACTATTTACCAGGGTGTACCCACCCCAGGCACACACCCAGAGCAAATCCTGTATCAGTCCTTACACTGTGGGGACACATTGTTGCAGGCTTATTGCAGCAGCTGTGTGCTACACCCAAATAATTAAACTCGTGTTATAGAAGGTTCTGATCAACATTACTAGGAAATTTACAAGTGAGACAATTTGAGGAACTACATTTCTTCACTCTTTTGTGAGGCAGTCAGGTTGGAAATAGTTAATTGTGTACTCAGCTATGTGTCCAGAGGTGTCTGCTTACTTTTAGCCCTGTAGCCTTACAAACACCACACATCAACATAGGGCACAAGGGTCATTTACCGGAGAGCACACTCTTAGCAAAACTGCATAATGTTAAACTGTATGGCTGTCTTCCTTTACAACTTGAGAAACCTGAGAATATTATTAAATTTGCAAATCTCTCAGGTTCTAAGTTCCTACTTTCCTTAAAATCACCCACAGATATAAAAATCCAGCAATGACAGCAGTAAAACTGTGTCCTCGTTTTGCTTCCTATTGAGTTGCCAATAACTTGGCATTAAAATCTAGGTCATAGGGAGCTCTTTGAAGAATAGGGCTGAAAATAAGGGAGAAGCTACATTTTGGTGAGTAAAGGCAACTCATGCTGCCTCCCATTTCCTGCAGTTTTTGACTCTAGTATCAGAACTTTGCACTTGAGAGAATTATGTAAAGCAGGTTAAACTTTAGAACCAGGGGAAATGTTTTCCCTGTATTTAATTACTTCCTTAAACCCTCATTGTACATGATTTATAATTTTTGGGGGTTAGTGAACCTTGGGCCTTTTAATATTTAAATTTAAATATTTAATATTAATTTTGCTATAGAGCCCTCACACCTGGTGCACCTGTGTGTGCCTGATTCTAAAGAAAGTTAGAAATAGTCTTTTCTTCATTTGGTTCTTGTACATAACTCAAATCTGTTGTTAAAAACAACATTTTATATATTTTGTATTTCCTGATTTTATGTCCTTCGTGTCCTCGTTTTTAAGCAGTATTATTAATGAAAATGCTTCCCTCCCCCTTTAAATTGTATTTAAGTGATTACCAGATTTTCATTGAGAGCCACGCCATTCAAAAGGCAGTTTGTGTGCCTTGGGCCACCCCCTAGCCATTGAGAATCTACAGTTTAACAAGATCCCCAGGTGAATTCGTGTGCACAGTCAAGTCTGAGAAGCCCTGATTAGGAGGATCAAAGCCCGTTCTAGTGCACACCTCTTGTATGAGAAAAGAAAAGGGAGTCCTAGGACTGCAGTGGGTGTTAAATCAAGCTCATTACCTAGGCTAACCCATTGATTCCAATTTTAATTTTAAGCTTAAAGCCTTCTAGGAGGAGCTTTGCCATATCCTGATGTCACCTGTACTTCTAAATTTAGCTAATAATTTTTCTTGCCCTCTTTTATAGAATTGCTTTTGTTAACATAATAAATTTCTTTTAACAGGGGACATTATATCACTACTGTAAAAAAAAAAAGTTATTTCTTCACATTTAAAGAAACACCTATTTTAAATCACTGTGTGTTCACTGTGTACCATCTGTAAGTATCTTTAGTACCCTCAGAGAGATGTGCACCAGACTACAGGCATCACTGTTCTAGGAAACCATGTGGATTGTGATGGTATGGATAAAGAAATAAAGGACAGAAGAATAAAATAGTTGATCTTAATGATGAGAAACTGACATCAAAGCCAGATGAACATACATACTCCCTTGGCCCCCTGTTCCCTGATACTGTGATGCTCAGTAGAGGTCAGATACCTGAATTTTAAAAAGAGCACAAGTGATTCTGATGCATAGCCAGGTGGAGACTTGTCCAGCAAGGCCCAGAGAGAAAAGGGTGTGATCTCAGTCATAAGCCCAGTCAAAACTGCTACTACCCCAAATGATTTGTAATTCACAATAGTGGCCACTGGAGGGTCTTGGAAGGCTCAGAAATTAACAGTGCATTTAAGTCATTTAATTATAAGGTCCCATTGGTGGGTTTTCTTAGTTGCATCATGAACTAGTATTGCCTTAGAATCATAAACACACAGATAGGATTTAAGAGCTGGAAGATCCAATACACCAAGTTTTGGGGTTTAATCCCTAGTCAGGGCACATACAAGAATCAACCAATGAATGTATAAATAAGTGATTTTATGTCCTTGGGCCACCCCCTAGTCATTGAGAATCTACAGTTTAACAAGATCCCCAGGTGAATTTGTGTGCAGACAAATATCAATGTCTGTCTCTCTCTCTCCCCCTCTCCCCCGCTGTCCCTCTCCCCTCCCTCCCACCCACCCTCTTCCCCTTTTTCCTCCCTTCCTCTCTCCTCCCTCCTTCCTTCTCTCTCCCTCCCTTCCTCCCTCTCTCAATAAATAAATAAGTAAATTAAAAAATTTTTTGAATAAGTTTTTATTTTTTGGAGAGAGAGATAGAAACAATGATGTGAGAGAGAAACATGGATTGGCTGCCTCCTGCATGCCCCTTACTGGGGATCAAGCCCACAACCCAAGAATGTGCCCTGACTGGGAATTAAACTGGGACTTCTCAGTCCATGGGCTGATGCTCAATGCACCTGAGTCGCACCGGCTGTGCTAAATAAAAATTTTAAAAAAGAGCTGGAAGAGAGGTACAGTATATTGCTTATCACTTTCACTCAAATGTAATTTTCTGGAGGAGGACTTAACATGTTATTACTAAAAATTTCCCTAAAATGCCTGCATGTAAAGAAAATGGCTGATGTTCAATTTTTTAAAAAGCTTTCTACAACAAAGATTCTTTTTAAAATTATTGTTAAGGAATAGGGTAATTTTAGTGAATTCCACAGCCAAGAACATTAACCAGAATATGCCACTATTATGACTGATTTATAGCTAAAGCTGGTAGATGAGAATTAGGTTATCCTGATATTAGAAGAGAGAAAGGTATTTGAAGATAGGTCAGTTATAGAACAGATCTTAGATTTGGGAGGAAACAAACCATTTTGTCTCCCTTCCAATATCTTCTTAGCTTTGGGGGTGGTGGTAGCAAGATGTAGAGGAGAGAACACGGCCTCAACTTTTGTGCATGTCATTTGGAGTATTAGGTGGCCTGATTTGAGTCATATCATATTAGCTGTTTCTTACATTTCTGTGTCATCCACAAATGTGGAAATCAAGTCATCTTCTACAGCTTCATTCATTCAAACTGTGAATAAGACCACTGAACAACTGGGGCCAAGGACATAATTACCCTAGTGTGGGTGGCCTTCAGTGTATAGACATATAGGGTGACTGGCCATCCTGGTTTGATTGAGACTAAAGTGTTTCCTAGGTTGTAGGACTTTATTACTAAAGCCAAGGCAGCCCTGGCCTATTTGGCTCAGCGGTTAGAGCATCGGCCTGCAGTCCGGAGAGACCCGGGTTCGGTTCCCACTAAGGGCACGTACTTCGGTTGCAGTTTGTCCCCGGCCCTGGTTGGTCGTGCGGTGGCAGCCACTCGATGTGTCCCTTTCACATCGATGTTTCTCTCTCTCTCTCTATCTCTTTCTCTCTCTCCCTCCCACTCTATCTGGACAAAAAAATGGAAAAATGTCCTTGGGTGAGGATAAAAAAAATAATAAAGCCAAGGCAGTCCTGGGCAATCAGGACTGTTGGACATCCTAGGCATGGATTCACCAGTGGTTCAAGCCCTCCCAGAGGTACTACCATGCAGCTCTAGTTCTTCATAGTATATAAAATATATCATGAGGAATGTTCAGTGCCCTGCCACTGAGGTAAAAGCCAGAGAGAGCATTTGCTGCCAATTAAGAAACCCCATCAGAAAAGCAATGAGGTTACTTGGCTTGGCTTGTTCTTTCTGAACGCAATGCTGACTCCTAATGATAAAAGCCCATAAGGCTTCTGTTTTATAACCTGTTTTAGAATTGTGCCAGGTATCAACCTTAACCTTAACTTTTCACATGGGTATCACCTTAGAATTAATTTTGAGATTTTTTTTACATTAAACTTAGTCCTTACGTTTATTTAGACAAGCTCTCTTATAGCTTTTTTTTAGGGTCAAGTGTGTATCTGAATCCAAACCACTTATTAAAGTCCATGTAATTGAAAGTGCCTTGTATATTTTCATCTTAAGTTGTGTTTGAAGTAAATGTACTTATTTGGCTGTTTCCATGTTTCTGTTTTTCCTCTCCAAAAGTCATACCCATCTAATTACATGGAGTCCATAAAGCCCAACAAGTATGGAGTCATCTACTCCACACCATTATCTGATAAGTTCTTCCAGACCCCAGAAGTCCTGTCTCATGGGATGCAGATGGAGCCGGTGGACCTCACCGTGAACAAGAGGAGTTCACCGCCCTCGGCTGGGAACTCTCCTTCCTCACTCAAGTTCCAGTCCTCACACCGGAGAGCCTCGCCGGGGTTGAGCATGCCATCTTCCTGCCCGCCGATGAAAAAGTACTCACCCCCTCCTCCGGGCGTGCAGCCCTTCAGTGTACCGCTGTCCATGCCACCGGTGATGGCTGCTGCCCTGTCCCGGCATGGAATTCGGAGCCCAGGGATACTGCCGGTCATACAGCCAGTTGTGGTGCAGCCCGTCCCCTTCATGTACACCAGTCACCTCCAGCAGCCACTCATGGTGTCCTTGTCCGAAGAGATGGAAAATTCAAATAGTAGCATGCAAGGTAAATCCCACCACTGGTCCACACTGCTGCTCCCACTCAGTATCTCCAGTGTCTTCCCCAGGCAGCCTGGTGAGAGAGAAGGAAGCAGAGCCAGAGCTTTTCAAAGAAAATATTCCACTTAGAGTCTGCCTAAGGCATTTCCTTTTATGTTTTTTCCTTAAAGTGTTGATACTGGGAGAGCTCCCAAGAATCAGGCTCTGCTTAAAGCTATGAAATGATTACTTTCACTATATATATCTGCCAACTTTGCGATAGTAAGAATCTTGACTTTATATTTTGCTTCATGGAATGCCAATATGGTTCTAGGTGCAAAGAGGCATTTAATAAATCCCTTAGATCATGGTGATTACTGAGGGCTATTAAAAGCACCTTGTTTATTGACTAGTCACGGGCAGAAGAGTGGGGTTAAAAGGAGATAATAAAAAATCACAAGGAAGAATCATTTAGGGCTGATGTCTAAAAAGTCCAGTTTCCTACGTACACTGCTTACTGGCAAAATAATGGTCCAGAGAAACAAAAATCCCCCACAGATTCACTGCTGTTATAATTTTGCCAAAGCAGATAAACAGTCACACATCAGTGTTATAGATAAGACTGTGCAATAAGCTTTTAAAAGCTGAAATTGGTAAACTGTACATAGAGTGACTTTTCTATTTTTATTTTTTAGTACCTGTAATTGAATCATATGAGAAGCCTATATTACAGAAAAAAATTAAAATAGAACCTGGGATCGAACCACAGAGGACAGATTATTATCCTGAAGAAATGTCACCCCCTTTAATGAACTCAGTATCCCCCCCGCAAGCATTGTTGCAAGAGTAAGTATATTTAGGTCTACCCGGCATTTGCGTAGCAGCATGCATCTTGGGACCTGGAATGGAAGTACGAGCTTCCAATGCGTGATGTGTGGATTGCCAGGAACACATTGTAGCATGTGGCAGCCACGGGGGCAAGATGAATCTCTCCAAAAACAATGCGCTGTTACATGGACAGCATTATGACAGTGACCTCAAGTTACCAGTGAGTTGGTCACCCATAATTTTGCCACCTTACCATGTATATTGTTTTTACCTTACTTTGTGTTTCACTCTTCTAGACTATGCACACCTAGTTTTCCCATAATCTAATCCCACTGTGGACTGAATTAGGTGTTCTAAATATTCCACAAGGTTGGATCATGAAGACTTCATGGACCCATGTCGTACTTCTAGGTGTCACTTCTAATAGAGTGTACTGTCTCTGTGATGAGGAATGTCTTTAATCAAAATCTTCAGGCCAACCACAAGCCCAAGAAAGAGATTCCAAAACAAGTCCTGTAAATAAGTGGTGGCAACAGAAATTGACCATGTGGCTCAGAGAAGCTCAGCAATGAAAGAACTCTTTATTCTCTGATCTTTTAAATCATACCTGCCCCTAGAATGTTCAGTCTGCTTTTGAACTGCCATGGAGTAGAAAGTTGACGATGTATTATTGGTCAGCATCCAAACACCTGAATGGTGGTTTGTTGTAGGTGTAATTTGCTGTAATATGACAGTGCCACACACAGGTTAAATAACATCATTAGTGGGATTTGCCACTGTAGATAACTTTGAAGCTTACCAGTGATTACATTGGATGCTGTGTTTGAAGTAGTTAAAGTAGCCTTTGGGTCTTACATCTTGGATCCCAGCTCTGCTCTCTACCATATGTATGACCTTGGGATAATCATTTAATCTTGCTGCCTCTGTTTTCTCTTTATTTTTATTATTGGTTATAATTACTTTCCTTATTGTAATTGTCTTATGTTATGATGCTTTTAACACTGGATTTAGTGGCCTGCTTCCTAATACTGAGGCAACAATTATCGTTTCCTCAGGGCCCCTTCCATCATCTTCCTCCCATGTCACCTTTTCTTCAACCTAAACAAATGCTCTGCCCATCTTTCTACTTTGTCTTCTCCACCCCTCTCCTTAAACAGTTACTTATGCCACAGAATGTGAATTCTCTGGTTTTAGAACAGTTATTTTCTGGAACTCCAAATATTCTAGTTGTATCCATATTCAACCCAAGTAGGTGCCTCCTAGTAGCTCACCAAATCATAGTCATTGCCCACTGCACCAAATCATAGTTTTGTCGTCGTTATGTACTCGCTGATAGATTAATGAATTTTCTTACCCAGCCTCATCAGCAGTAGAGTGTCTGATAGGCTTGTACATTGTTGCTCTTCACAATTGCATAGCATCCCCTTCACCCCCAAAAGAAACTTTTCCAAGTGTTTTTAAATGAGTTACTTTATTCTCCCATAACAAGCAAGTGGGAGTCAGAACAAAAAGAGAGCTGAGAAGCCAAGACATTAGATAACTCTCTTGTAATCACACTGTTAACAGCAGAGGGGTCCTCAGCTTGATCTCCTGCTTCCAGATGAGGGTTCTTTCTGCCATTTTTAACCCATATCTAGCCAATTGCATCTGCTCATGCAAATGAGTAAAAGAAACAGAAAGACTAACCAAAGTGGATACATCATTTAGGCTACATTACCTCTTTTTTAATTTTTATTTTTTATGACGTGTGTTGCTGGCAAGGTAGCTGGCAATATGACTTGGACTTGAAATTGTTCCTGCACAGTTGATAGAAAAGATGCTATAAAGCCAACTGCCCACATAGGAAGGGATCTATTGACTGAAAGGGACTATTCCAAAATCTAAGTTATTATGAACTACAGTGTAAAACATTATGGAAGAAGAATATTTGAAAGCAATATACTGTGCTCTGAATTTTGCTAAAGAGAAAATACTTTTTTCTTTCTTATTTTGAGTAATGTTCTTTTAATGATCTCAAGCTGGATGGCTTTTAATGATTAATGAGCAGTATGCTTAGTCTAACACCGACCTAAGAATGCATTTTGCCTCTCAAAAAATTCAGCAGATTAGCCACAACTGGGACATGTACTCTTCAAGTAATTTTCTCACAGATGCAATTAGGTAATGTCTTGGAGTGTACCCAGTAGCAGGCCACATAGGAAACCAGCTAGCCAGGAAGGAATCATTTGAAACCAAGCGCCTAGTATCATTGTGATGAGGCATCCCCAATATTTGCCTTAAGAAACCCTTCCTCGCCCTAGCTGGTTTGGCTCAGCGGTTAGAGCGTCAGCCTGCGGACCAAAGAGTCATGGGTTCGATTCCGGTCAAGGTCATGTACCTTGGTTGCGGTTCATCCCAGGCCCTGGTTGGGGTCGTGTGGGAGGCAGCCAGTCTATGTGTCTCTCTCATATCGATGTTTCTCTATCCCTCCCTCCCTCTCACTCTATCTGAAGATAAATGGAAACGTATCCTCAGATGAGGATTTAAAAAAAAGGAAACCCTTCCTTTGGAAGCAGACTTCGAAATACACCCTTGAAATCCATTTGCTTGGTCATGGAGCTACTGCTCTAGAATTATTTGTTAAGGCACTCAAATGTATATCAAATTGCTTTTGCTATATATTTGCATGTGTGAAAATGTATTTATAACAAACAGCTTAAGGATCAGATCGCCCCATTTAGTTGTGTATATGCATGAATGATAACAAATTTAAGAGAGGTCAGCTTAACCCAAACTAATGACCAGGTCTCTGATATTTAATAGCTGTTCTAACTTCTTGGTTGTAATGATCCCAAACAACCTCTTTAAAAATTAGCGGTGAGGAGACCAAAAAGGATAAGATCCCAAGTTCCTGATTTCTAACCTCAGCCTATACTAAATATCTGGCTCTTTAGAGACGGGGCTGCTAACCACCCTCAGAATGATGCTGCCTTTTGAGGTAGATGTTAGCTGGTATAGAGATTTCCTGATACGGTGTGGGGACATTCCAAAAAACACCTTATGAAATTAAACAATGTAGGGGGCAAAGTGCAAACTGCAGAACCTCAAATTATGAACAGCTATCATTGAATAGATTTACATCTGGAACAGATACTGTTGTTTTATATACATACACATACATACACACACATATATATACACACACACATATATAAACATTTACTTATATATATTATTGATTTGGGAGAGGAGGGAGAAAGAGACATCAATTGGTTGCCTTCCCCAGGGACTGAACTCAAAACCCAGATATGTGCCCTGACCAGGAATTGAACCAGCAACCTTTCAGTGCACAGAATGACAATTCAACCAACTGAGCCACTCTGGCTCTTAAATGCTTTGTGTACATTACTCACAACCACCTTCATCATCCCCATTTCACAGAGACTATCAGGGTCACAGGGACTATCAGCCACAGAGATTTAAAGCTAATTAAAGCTAGAGCCCTTGCCGGTTTGGCTCAGCGGTTAGAGTGTCGGCCTGCGAACCAGAGTCCAGGGTCTGGTTCCCACTAAGGGCACGTACCTCAATTGCAGTTTGTCCCCAGCCCTGGTTGGGGTAGCAACCAGTCGATGTGTCTCTCTCACGTCGATGTTTCTCTCTCTCTCTCCTCCCCTCCTTGCTCTATCTGAAGATAAGTGCAAAAATGTCCTCTAGTGAGGATAACAAAAAAAAAGCCAGAGCTCACAGCTTTTTAGCATATCTTTATATACAAAATAAGCAACTGGAAAAAGCAATAGTTGACTAGTACACAGAAACTATTAGACTGATTTCCAACCCATAAGATCTAATAATTGGGAGAGGCTTCTAAAGTCATCTGGAAAACTCTTTCAGTATCCCAGAGCATATGAGATACATTTAATTGTTTTTTTTCCCCTCAGCATTTTATTTCCTGAATTTCTCTTAATGAAGATGAAACATTTCCAATCAGTGGCCTTAAAGTTGAAAGTTAAAAATAAACATAACTTTTTTCTTTTTATTGAAGAATTTCAAATTGATAATTTAGCTCAATAAAAATTATTACTGTCTATAAACTTCTCACTTCTCTATTTTTTCTACTGTTTGTACATTTATAAAATTTAAGTCCTTGTCTTTTTTCCCTCTCACTAGTTTATGTTCACTTTCCCATGTATCTGGACTTGGCCATTTTATTTTTCTGCACTGCCCCTCTAAGCATCAGAGTAGGAAGGTAAAGTGACACGCAACTGAGTTTTCTTTGCTAATAATAAAAGTTAGAAATAAGTAAGGTCACTTAAACATACATTTTATTCTCTTTTATGCCTGAAAAAGTTACTGATAAAGGACATGTTAAATTTTTATCAAGATAAAAAATCAAGTTTCATTTCAGGGACTCCCTTTTGATTTTTATAACTAAATTTTATTATCCTTTTTTATCTCATTCAATTATTTTTTTCCTTCTCACCAATCTTTTTTCTCCCTTTACACATTTGTATAAAACATTCATATGTTATATGGACCATCTTAAGAACTTGAGGTTCAAATTTAAAAGAAAAGTCTTTCTTTACATTTGGAGACCAACTACATAGGCTTGTCATGTATCAAGTAATTCGTCATTAGGAAAGCAAATGAGTGGACAAAAATTAATGAATGGATTAGAAATTTTAATTACTTAACATTAATCAGCAGAGGAAGTCTGGGAAAACTATAGACCTTTCCCAGCTCTTTTCCATCTGCCTTTTCTCTCGAACTACCTTTCTGAAAAAGAGAAAATCCATAATAATGATGTTTAACATGATTTGATTTGTGTAGCTGTGGGAATGTAAGTCTGGGTGAGAGCAATCAGGGAGGCAGGAGAATGTCAGGGGTCCCCGAGGAAGCTGACTGGGCCCCAGTGTCATGGGCAAGGGGCTTCCTCACCTGACTGTTACCACTGCCCTGACATTCTCTCTCTAACAGGAATAATAGTAACAAGAAGATCTGAATTTGTGAAAACCGCAGTGCTATGATTTTTTGTTTTTTTTTTGGAAGAGCTGGCATTTGAAAATCAAATGTGAACTGTCAATTTTTAAAAAACTCCCAACTAAATGCCAGTTATATAAAATATAGATATATCCTACAGTGTGGTTGCCTGAGACTGAGGAATGTGACCTTTCCCTGAGGAATAATAAATGAAAATAAGGATGGCCTGTGAAAAAGAGTGTCCAGCATTACCTAGTGCCACAAAGTTCTATAAATAGGCAAATTTTTATTGAGGCAAAGAGACTGCTAGCACTTTGCACCTCTCTGCAGCATAGCACCTAACCCTTCTTACTGTCATTACTTATCTACATGTCTGTCTCCCCCTAGAGTGTGAGCTCCTCGAGGGCAGGAACCCTGTTTTTATTCATCTTTGTGTCCCGGTGCCAAGCACAGTGCCTGGCTTATGGTAGGTGCTCACTCAATGTTTGTTGAATGAATATAGCAGTGCTTCTTGGGTTGATCAGCTAATTTCTTTTTGTTTATTTTGTTGGGTTTTTTGTTTGTTTGTTTTTGCCCAGTGTTGTTAATGCTTTTGGTAGACTAAAGAAAAGGAAGAGCGTTTCACTCAATGTTTTGCATTTAACGTTGGCTTTCACAGGAATCACCCTTCAGTCATAGTACAGCCTGGGAAGAGACCGTTACCTGTGGAATCTCCAGACACCCAAAGGAAGCGAAGGATACACAGATGTGATTATGATGGATGCAACAAAGTGTACACTAAAAGCTCTCACTTGAAAGCACACAGAAGAACACATACAGGTATCAGAAATATACTGACTCACTTTTTTCTTAAGAAGAATTAGAATAAAATGTTAAGTCAAGTGTTCTAACTTTCAGAGGTTGTTATAATGAAATTTTTTCAGGCATCTGAAAATTACCATAGTCATTTACAGAATGCCCCCATCATGAAAAATTAAGTTTTTGTTATGATTTACTTTTGTAATAAGTAGAATAGATTCAAGGTTATCTCTGTAGCAAGTTCAATCACTTGTAGTTCTGTACTCTGCATTGAAGGAGAGAGAGAAAGGGATGGAACCTCCACTGAAACAGAAGGGAAAGAGCTCTTAACCACGAGCCTATATTATTAGGATGTGGTCTTCATATGGGCTCTCATTTAGTAAATGTAAATAATCAAATTTACAATAGCAAAAATTAGTTTTTTATGCAGCAGTTTATAGAAGTGGAATTTGGGTAAATCTTCTCTTCTAAAACTAAGGGAACTTCTAAGGAATTGCCTGCTGTATTTGTTCTAGAATATCTTCCATCTCCCCTGTCTTGAATATAGAGTGTGCAGCCAGATCTTGTGAAGTGTTGTGTAGGTGAAGAAAACATAAAATTGTTCCATGGGCTCTTAAACATTTTGTAGCAAAACATCTTAAAGAATTTGTATAAAAATGCTGTAAACAGTGTGATTAATTGCAGTGAGTATTGGTGATTATTAAACACTGTAGGCCTCATCTAACCTAACCACAAACTCTTCGGTATGAAAGTCTAGTATACTAGGAATTTGCCTCTGTGTACATTGTTCCTAATTCAGAATGTAGAATTTTTTTTTTATTATTCTTATGAGTCATTCTTATTAGGAATATTTAAAAAGAGAAGAATCTGGGATTTGGGAGAGAAAAGGGCAGGAACGTGTCTGGCAGAGTAGAAGTGGAGTTTTTCAGTGAATTCTGGGGAGAGGAAGCCAGGGAAAATCAACCTTCTGCAGCTGTTCTTTGGCCACATAGCTTTGCATTTAGAGGAACACCCACCTAATCACCCAAATCTGTGTCAAATAGATTCATAAAAGCATCCCCAGGACATTAATGGGACCCAGTGGGGTGGATGCTACCAAATTGCAGCCTGAGATTGAAAAGACCAAATTGAATATTTGCATAACAATTCAGATGTAGGAAAAGTACCTCTTCGCGTTTATATTTTGTGCTGAAACGCAGATAATATAAATTCTGACTCTCATTGAAATGCCAAGGAATGGCAGTCCTGTAAGGTTTCTAGAGAACAAGGGCTGGCAATTAATTTGTGGTACCCATTGCTTATTTTTACTAATGTAAGCATGTAAGATAGCCATGTACAGCCTTTCTATTTGTTAGGGCCTTCATAATTGTTCTCCCTAGGAATTTCCCACGAGGGTCTTCTGTTCCTCACCTGCAAAGTACCATTATCCTACAGGAGGGGGTTGGAGAACCCTGGCTTCTGACAGGTTGGGGAGGCATTACTATAGTTTTAGTTCCTCAAAATTGAAGCACTATATTTAGGCATAATTGTTATCAATTAAACAATATCTGTTGAAATCCCCAACAGATATTTCATTTGATGGAAACTTCACTTCAGATTTTTTTGAAAAATACTGAAAAGAATATGAAAATCCATCCTGGCTGGTATGACTCAGTGGTTACAGAGTTGGCCCTCACACTGAAGGGTTATGGGTTTGATTCCCAGTCAAGAGCACGTACCTGGGTTGCAGGTTTAAGCCCAGGCCCCAGCTGGGGTGTGTGGAAGATAGCCAATCATTGTGTTTTTCTCCCATCAATGTTTCTCTTTCTCTCTCCCTTCCCTCCCTCCCACTCCCTCTTCCACTCTCTCTTTAAAAAAAAAAATCAGTGGGAAATATTCTCAGGTGAGAATTAAAAAAAAAAATATATATATATATATATATGTGAAAATCCCACAAATTCTCAATTTGGATTTATTGAATGGATAGGACTGCATATAACTGGGCTCCTAAGTAGATTTAAGCCTTGATGATATACAAATACAGATCGCCAGGTGCTTAAATTATTAATCCCTACAACTGAGGACAAAACCAAAACTATTTAGCCCCTCAGAATGGATTTCAGTGCCTTTATGCTTTAAGAATTCTTAAAAGCCCTGATCAGAGTGGCTCAGTAGGTTGAGCATCATCCTGTGCACCAAGAGGTCCTGACTTATGGTCAGGGCACATGCCTGGGCTGCAGGCTCAATCCCCAGTAGGAGGGGGTGTGCAGGAGGCAGCCCATCAATTTTTACCCCTCACATCGATGTTTCTCTCCTTCTCCCTTCCGAACTCTTAAAATTACCTACCCCCTTTGTGGGGCAGCAAGCCAGTTAAATATTAAAGAGAATTATTTTCTTGCTTGTCCTGTAGTGTTTTATAGGATACTATTATTGAGGGACAAACAGATGATCATACCTTGGAAATAATATATGTCAAGAGCTTTAGTTCAAAGTTTTTAATTTTACTCTCTTTACTAATTAAATTGCCTTTTGCCATAAAAAAAATAAGCTCTTTTCACTGTTTCTTTTTGCAGGAGAAAAACCCTACAAATGTACATGGGAAGGATGCACATGGAAATTTGCTCGGTCTGATGAACTAACAAGACATTTCCGAAAACATACTGGAATAAAACCTTTCCAGTGTCCAGACTGTGACCGCAGCTTCTCCCGTTCTGACCATCTTGCCCTACATAGGAAACGCCACATGCTAGTTTGAATATCTCCATCTCCGCCTCGGCACACGGCTCCCCACTCGCCCAGCTTTCTCTCTGTCCTCCCTCCCATTGTCTAACTCATTTTTTACATGTACATTTTAATTTTGATTCAGCTGGACTGAATCTCTGAATTTATATCATTCAAACTTCCATATGGTCAGTAGTAAATATTCTCTAATCCTCTCTCTCCTTACCACGGGTCAGACCTAAAGAATGTGAACACTTTTTCCGGGGATGCTAAGCAAACCCTTCTTACAGATGAGTTTAATGTAATGAGAACAAGGGATCATGTAAACTAACAGAACCAATTGTCAGTTTGTCCATGTATTCCTCAAAAGAATGTCAAAGTAAATGTATTAGAAATACAGTATCCAGCCTGCTAGTCCTTGCCAGAGACATTCATACCTCTGAGCCCTGTGATCGCATTTTGTGCTGCACAGAGAAAAGACGGGTGGACCCCTTCACAGGTTAGCTAAAAGGGCAGCAAGATTCAGGCTAGTACAGTCAGCTCTTACATTGTCCTTTACCAATCTTGCTTGTCCACATGGATTTATCACTTCATCTAAATTAAGTCCGTTACCCTCCTTTGTGCCCACAGCTAATAAGGAGGTCTTTGTCCCCACTGGAAGATGAGCTAGAGCTGTTGACATAGGTGAATGATGTCTGTCAGTTTAAGAGATGGATGCTGTATTTGCATTGTATGGAAATGGAGCAAAGGGGCATTGATTAAGAGGGCAAAGGAGGAAGCCAACTGGGGGTTTCCAGTGAGATTTCATCATCTGATTGGCTGAGCAGTACGTTCCTAGAGCTCTGGCCTCTATGCATATTCAGCTGTGCAGAACCATCCAGCAAAGCCAAATACTGATGGGGTTACCCATGCACTGATCTCCATTCTTCAGTGTCCTTAATAATGATCATCAAGCATTGATAGTAGGGACACCACAACAATATTTGCCCAGTAATGGTAAAGAATCTTTTGGATAAGGGTCTGAAGGGCCTCTACCCAACCTCCTGAGAGCTTTTTTGCAAACAGAGAAATATTGAGTAGTAATTATATTCCCATGTCAAATTACTCATATAGCTTTCATACAGAAACTGTATGAGCTACAAGGTGCCAAATTGGCTGTCATTAGCATTCATGACACATATCATAAATAAGCATCTGCTAATGCTTTAGTAGACTCATTAAGACCTGAGTGACACTATTTGTAAATAGTTGTGAAGCACACAGACCTTTATTTGGGGGACAGATTTCTGAGAAATATAGAAAATCACTGTTCAGGGATTCATATATGTAGCTCAAAAATTCCCAAATGTTTACTGTTGGAGCTGGCAATCTCCTTTCACTATCAAGTATCCTGTCAGAAGAACAAACTGAAAATGACTCGTGTTTATGTTGAAGATAAATAGCACCATTATTTGGGGGAAGTTTTTCAAAAGTAGGCTTTTGAGCACCATAGTCTAAATGCCAATAAAAATAATTCATGTATAGAAATGCCACTGGTCCTAAATTTGAAGGAAGTGGCAACAGTGGTCAAAAGTGGGCACATATAACCATCTGCCCCTTCCTAAAGGACGGAGAAGAGAGAAGAATGGAATCCTGAAGATTCATCCCAGCCACAGCTCAGGATCCAACACAACCTTAACTGGGAGGAATGCACTGTTCTTAAAGCATCAGTGAACAAGTGATTCTGGAGGCCTGTGAATTGTGTGGGGAGCTTAGTTTGGCGCTATGTTAATAAAAATTAGTTGTAAGGACTGCACACCTAAGAGATCCCACTCAACAGCTCTCTGAACCAACTGAAAGGAAATGTAGAGAAATACAAAATAACTTGTTATCTGGCACTTGGTTTTTACTTTGTTTTTTTAAGCACTGCAAAATTTATTTAGAATATTAAAACATCCTAATTGGGCTTTTTCTTTTTTGTTGTTGTTTGTTTGCTTGCAACTAAGATATAAATTGAGGGATAAAAATGGCTCTTGGAAAAGTAGGTATTGCCTGTATTGTAAATACTTAGTCACATTCATGCAAAAGTGTTTATTTCTTGAAATGCATCTTCCACAACACACCGAAGAATTAAGTTTGAATGCAAGGAACTTCTTTGTTTTGGTGGAGAAAACCAGTTCAGGCATGTTCTAACTCACAAAAGGTAGAAAGGGTAGAGTTGATCTTTATATAATTAGCTTTGAAGTCTGAGTCCAATTAATAGAAAGCTTCATGGGTTCTAATGAAATTTAGTTTGCTATGGCATATCAAAATTCTGTTCAAAAGTGCAAGCAAGACCCTGCAGAGACTCTATTACATTATACTTAGCTTGCTTAGATTATGTTAACAGTTCATTAACAAATTCCATTTTAACTTGGAAAGAAAACCCAGAGAAAGCCATTCTCTGATCCCATGCTGGTCTATATACTTTAGTTACCAATTGGCTCTTTGCAAAATTTCCTCTTTTATATATATTTGTATCTTACTATGATAGTTAAGAAATTTAGTCTTAGTCATTTTTAGCTGTTATTGTGGGAGACCTCAAACAAAATAAGATGCCCTTAAGCATGTGGTTTTAATGATGTGCCATGTTACTACCAATGGTGATTTTAATTGCAATATTCAAGTTGATGAGAATGATTTGTAGACATGGAGCTAGTGTTGTATAAATTGTTACAGAATTTCTTCAATTATTATCCAAGTGTCAGAAAAATTAAATCTGAATCCATCATATTTTAGAGTTTTAAAATGTGAATCTATATCATAAATGGGCATTAACATTCTGAATCACCTTGTTTGGAGAATGTTAGCAGCATAGCTATGTTCAACTAAGGAAATGCTAAATATGCAGAAGTTTCAAGAACCTTGGAACAGATTTACAGGGGAACTATATATGTGTATGTATATTTTATTAAACACCCATCTGCACTATCAGTGTTGCACTAAATGTGGAATTTGAAAGACTATATTGCTGATACTGTATATCTGCACATCATTCCTGGTTAGATTGTTGTAAAGACAATCTCAAAGATCTAAAGTTTTAAAATAAATCAATTGGTTTGAAAATATAGTCATATGGTCATCACGAAGGAATTGCTGTCATACATGAAGTTGCTCAGCGTGGTAGTCTCTTCTTGGTCAAGGTTAACAATTTCTAAATGACTGCAAATTCACTTAAGAAATAATACATTTACAAAGCCATTTTCCATGCATTAAATGAGGGCTACAATATTATGTTTTACAAATACTAGCACTTTTTTTTTTTTTTGCTGTTATATACTTAGTGTTAGAGGGTCAAAATAATCTTTCTGCTTAGCATCTCTTAAACCATACCTGCAAGTATAGCAGGATTATTACATTTACAGTACTTTAATACTTGTATAAACTATGCAGAAATTTTTAATAAAGTGTAATATATTTTATAAGCTAATAAGACTGAATGGGTAAAGGTTTTTAGCATGCATTAGTATACTTGCAAATACTGAAACATTTTGGTAATCTTTCTTACTAAAGATGTGAATGTTAATGTACCTTCTCTGTTTCTACTCTGTAGTCCAATGGGAATTCAGTAATGACATTTTGTCATGTCAAACTGTGAACATAAATTTGTACTGTACAGTCCTCATATACTATATACAGTATGCAATATATGTATTATATACTTGTTAATAAAACCATCAGAATATTAAGCGTGATCATGTGATAACTATATATGCAGCAATCACAAGGAACAAAACTTAGCAATGTAACACGTAAGAGACCCTACTTAGAAATTTCCAAGAAAAAATCACTCTTTGATAGGCAATCATTGTTTGTAGAGGAAAGAAAAACATCTAACCGGAAGGTACACTAAACAATTAACTCAGCCCTAAAGCTCTGTCTCTGGTTTTCTGATAATGGCCAACAGGAAATCTAAGCACAAATCATAAACCTGCAGACAATCCAGCATAAAAATCTGCAAACTCACCTAATGTATCTTGGAATGGTTAGTTGTTTATGTCCCTTACCTGCTTTCAAAAAAATTTCATGTTTCAAAAAAAGACATGTTAGCCCAGCTTGTGTGGCTCAGTAGTTGAGCGTCAACCCATGCGCCAAGAGGTCATCAGTTGAGATTTTACTTCCTGACACTTGTCATCACTTTGCCTCAAATAAACTCACAAAAATTATCTACAGGTTTGAATGTTTCTTACGTTGACAATCACAAAGATAAGAAGTAGAAGGGCCAGGTTCAAATTCAGGCTAACCCCAGAGCCTGCTCTCTTAACTATTAAACAGATCTCTGGCCTAAATGACTTCCAGATTATTTTGGTGCCTCCCCTCAAAATTCGTTCCACACATGCTTGCTTTTGCTCATATGGGGCCATTTTCTGATAGGCCCTCCCCACTATCCCAGGTCCCATTCATCCATTCCTTAACTAAAAAAATACTACTAATTCTTCAATAATTGCATGGCCAGAACTCTCCAAAAGGTGAAGAATTTGCTGATTTCCATAAATTGAAGCTTGACAGATTTGTTTTTAATGTCAGGTATATTGGGGTATAATTTACTTACAGTAAAATAACTTTTTTTTTTATCCTCACCCAGATACTTTTTTTTTTTTTTTGCACTCATCTTCAGATAGAGTGAGAGGGAGAGAGGGAGGAAGAGAGAGAGAGAAACATTGATGTGAGAGAGATACATCGACTGGCTGCCACCCACATGACCCCAACTGGGGCCAGGGACAAACTATAACTGAGGTACATGCCCTTAGCAGGAACCAAACCCGGGTCTCTCTGGACCGCAGGCTGATGCTCCAACCGCTGAGCCAAACGAGCCAGGGCTAAAATAACTTTTTTAGTGCACTTTCCAGTGATTTTTAACAAGCATATATGCTCATGTCGTCACCATAACCAAGACCTAGGACAATTTCATTCTCCCTAAAGTTCCCTCATCTCTTTTTTACTTCCCTGTACTTTTGCCTCTTTCAGATAATGGATGTAGCCCTTTGAGTATGGCTTCAACTACTTGATATTATATATTTATACATGTTGTTACATATATCAGTAGTCTGTTCTTAATTATTTAATATGGATGTACACAACATGCTTATACATTCTCCAACTGAAGGATATTTGGACTGTTTCCAGTTTGAGACCACTATGAATAAAGCTGCTACAAATATTCACATCAGGTTTTGTTGTTAACTTAAATTTTCATTTCTCTTGGACAACTGCTTAAGAATGCAATAGCTGGATTGTGTGGTAAGTAAATGTTGGTGCTATAACAAACTGCCAAGCTGTTTTTCAGAGTCACTATACCATTCTGCATTCCCACCAGCTGCAATGTGTGAGCATTCCAAGGTACTTCACAACCTCACCAGCATTTGGTATTATCCAATGTTTTGTTTTAGCCATCCTAATAAGTGGAGCAGTATCTCATTGTGGTTTTAATTTGTATTTCCCTCATGACTTATGATGAGCACCTTTTCACGTGCTTATTTGCTATCCATATATGTTCTTAGATGGAGTGTCTGGTCAAGTCTTTTGCCCATTTTTTATTCATTTGTTTGTTTTCATATTATTGAGTTTTGAGAAAGCTCTATATATTCTAGATATAGGTCCTATTTTGCTAATATTTTCTCTCCAATTATGGCTTGTCTTTTCATTTTTTAACAGTATTTTTTAATAGATATTTCTAATTTGATGAAGTTCAACTTATCAATTTTTTAATGGATCATGCTTTTTGTGTTCTATCTAAAAAATTCTTTACCTAATCCAAGATCACCAAGATTTTCTCCTATTTCTTCTTCTAGAAGTTTTATAGTTGCAGGTTTCACATTTAGACTTGCTGTCTGTCCCTGTTCCATGTTAAATAAATGTAAGCAAAGACATTTCTTCTCTTTCTTACCACCAAGCACTGTGGTGAGAGAATGTGGGGTGGAACCCTGTAGTCTGGCCCAGCATTAACCACAAAGAGGCAGCATCCTCTTCTCCTTCCAACTAGGGAGTTGGGAGAAGGTTATGAAGAATAAGGAGCAGAAGAAAGAGACCTTTTATATCTAAGTATGAAGTCCCAGGCTCATCTCTGAGTGGCCCAAGCATTAAAACTGACTAGAATCAACACAGCCAATGCTTTGAGAAGTGAACTGCAGTGTGGAATACCATCCAGGTTTCAGACTGGCCTCTCGGTCATGCACAGTGGGGCAGTCCAAAACAGCACTAGCAAAGATTTAAAATGTAAATTAACATTCAAACCACAGCCCACAAAAGTGGGCCAGGATGTGTGTTCTAAATCTAAATGGGTTGACTGCCTGCTAAAATAGAAGACTTAAAGAGGAACCAAAGTCTCATAATATACCACACAGAATTTCTAAAATATAATCCAAAATTACTTGGCATAGTAATAAAAGTTATGAAAAAAACAAATGGAAATTTAGAACTAAAAAATACAATATCCAAAACAAAAATACTCACTGAATGGGTCAATAACAAAGTAGAGATTGCAGAGGAAAGAGTCAGTAAACTTGAAGATCAACCAATACAAAGTGTCCAATCTGAGCAAGAGAGTAAAACTAGATAGAAAAAGATGAACACAGCGTCAGGGGCTTGTGGGAAAAAAACAAAAGATCTGACTCTATGTTGCCAAAGTCCTAAAAAAGAAAAGAAAGTGTAGATCTTAAGAAATATCTGAGAGATACCACACCCAATCCCTCTTTACCACTCCCTCCACCCTTATCACCATTGATAGAAAAAAAGAAATATTTGAAGAAATGTCTAAAAACTCTCCTAATTTGTTGAAAGACAAAATACATTTAAAACCTACAGATTCAGGTAGGTGACTGAATCCCAAAAATGATCAACTGAAAGAAATCCCCACATAGACACATCATAATCAAACTATTGAAAATGAAAGACAAAGAAAAAAATGTAGGGTTAGACATAAGATACATGATGTATGATACTGAATTTTTACATTGGCAACTCTATGGACATCTACTAGAACTATAAATGGTTTTATTTTTATAAAAACATGTAATGATATTTTATATTTGATATATCAAATAATATTAATTTTAGATATTTCATATTTTATACAAACATTTAATATCTCCAAAAATTAAACTTCTCAGCTTCTCTCTCTGTCCAATCCTGTTTCTCTCACTCATGCAAGACTCATTCTATATTACAAGTGTTGATCCCCATTAAACCATCTGCATGCAAATCTCTGTCTTGAAGTGTATTTCCAGGGAGCCTGACCTAGACCTGTGCCAGTTGGCATAGTAGCAAAAAGAAGCATTAGCCCTCTGTCTCCTCTTTCAGATGGTGGTGTGGCAAAACAAGCAAATGGTGAACTTACTGGTAGATATTGTTAAATGTACTCTCATTTTACAGCTTAATCTAAGTAGCTTTGATTAATTGTAGATATTTAAATATATGATGTGGTCTTCATTTGCACTCTTATCCCTGGTGCCATGAATGTTTGGAGTGGGCCTGCTGCCTGCTCTTCCCTCTTTATTTCCATTATATTCTCTAGTTTCTGTGATACAGGAACATTACTGGTTTTGTAAGATAATCTTGTATCTGGCAAACAGGTTGAACTATTTATAATTATTTCTATTACTTTGCCTGATGATGCTATTGAGTTGTGTTTTTTAAAAATGAGGATGATTATAATTCCTGCAATAATAACTATTTGATTTTCCCCTTAATGCTCATGTCTCTTATGCTTTTTTCTTGTCTTATGGTATGGCTAAATTCTGCAGTATCATGTTAAGCATTAGTGATATCCTTGCCTTATCTTCATAGAAATGTATCCAAAATTTCTTTAATAAGTATGATTTCTATTTTAGGATTTTTTGGTACACTTTTTTTGGATAAAAGAGGTTCCTTTCTTTTTCTAGTTTCTGAGTGATATTATTATAAATAGGTGTTAAACCTCAACAAACATGCTTTATTTATTCAGATACACTTAATGATTTTTCTTCTTTAGGCCTCTAATATGATAAATTACACTGATAGATTTTTTTTTTATCCTCACCCAAGGACATTCCTACATTTATCTTCAGATAGAGCTGGAGGGAGAGAGAGAGGAAGAGAGAGAAAAACATCAAAGTGAGAGAGACACATTGAGTGGTTACCACCCATACAACCCCAACTGGGGCCAGGGAAAAACTGCAACCGTGGTACGTGCCTCCAGTGAGAACCAAACCTGGGATTCTCTGGTAAGCAGGCGGAGGCTCTAACTGCTGAGATAAACCAGCCAGGGCTGACAGATTTTTAAAATGTGGAACCATCTCATATAAAGTCTGCTTGTGCAGGGATATAGAACTATATATATATTAATGAAATGTAAAATTTTTTAGCTGATGTTGTATTTAGAGTTTTGAATCTATGACAATAAGTGAAATGAGCTTCCAGTTGCCTGAACAAGGTTTCACTAGCTTCCCACACTGTAAAATAAATGAAGACCAACCAAATGTGAACAGGCAAAGGCTATTTATTCAGAGCTTCCTATAGCAAGAGTGTCAGCCACCATCACTTGCATTTGGGCAGTGACTCAAAGGCAGGCAGAAGAGAGGGAAAGCTTTATAATGGCAAAAAAAAAGGGGGATGGGGGTTCAAGTATTCCTGATTGGAGGCTGTTGGCATGGGGAAACTGTAGGCAGGCTAACTAGACACACAATCCTGTGTGATTGTT